GAATCAGTAGCTAGGGAACAGACTCAAGGAAATGACTTCCAAATTTCCAATAATTCACTAGAGAACGCTTCTGCTGACCACTTAGCCAAATAATCGATGATTATGGGACAATTGCAGGGATCAAGGCAGGTGGTGGTGAGGTAGAGCTGGGAGACATCAGTGTACGTGTGGAAACCAAAGCAGTGTTTTCACATGATTTCTCTGAGGGGTAAGATGTAGAACGGAAATAGGAGGGGCACTAGTGTTAACATTGTAGAATGACTTGAAGAAAACAGATACAAAGGGTTTAAGAAGACAGCTAGAAGTAAAGAAAAGAAGCTGGCAGTTATCTTTTGCAGGAATAGTTAGGTAAATGAGAACAGCACAACCAAGGTAGCAGCACATCACCACCCTCACCAGGGCAATTAAGGATGGTCAACAAAAGCAGGATCAGTTAGTGACACCACCATAAACAAATTTGTAAAAAGCTGCAGCCCTTCAGTTGGCTCACCAAGTCTTTTGAACTTAAACAGAAATGAGGGTCATACTAGCAGGAATGGCCATGGTGAGAGACAATAATAATTTTAATGGGGACTAGGGCATCCAAAGTGAAGCCAAGTTTGTGGTTCAGCAAATCAATAGACACAGCGACATTATGGTGAACAAAGGGCCAAAGGCCCTTGCGATTTTGGAAGGGCACTACCAAGTAATTTTGGAGGGTTTTACCCAGATAGGTACAAAGGAAAGTAGGGTTGAGAGGGGGAGAAAAGAAACATGTGAAGTGATTGGAGAGAGCCCCTTAGCTGAGACTGACAAGAAGAAAATTACAAGGCCATCACACAAGATGGCAAGGCCAATGGGTTGGCTGTGAATACGAATTAGAGTGTTTTTCTGGAAGATGTGACTGAGGGAGGATTGGAAAATAGTGAATTTAGTCGAAGGATAGCAAGATGAAGTGGCATTTGAAATTGAGGATGAGAAATTATTCAGTACAGAGGCTGAGAGACTAAAGCAGTGAATATTCTGGCAAGTTAAAATAATTGCATTTTATGAAAATAAAATTTCAACATACAGGCATCATGACAGTTCACTACCGATACGTCACTAAAATTAAAACAGATAAAACTAGCTGTGCCAGAATTTCTTGGCAAATTATCAATTTTAGTGGCACATGCGATTACTACAGTATAATTTGCTAAATGGCTTGAAGCAAAAAAATTGCCATGAGTTGCAAATCACAAGTTGCTGGGCAATTTGCATCACATTGCCATTAACTTCAAAAGGTGGCATCAAGAAACAATTGCCTCATGATTTTCAAGAAATTGCAGCATTTTCACATTCATTAACAATTAAACTCACTGCAGAAAATTAGGTCTGGTATCGATCAGTGTAAATACTTTTTAAGAGTGCAATTTATTTTCCTGCAATATTGCTCAATTTCTCTTACCCAGAAAGGATGCAACAGAATCTGGAATTTCATTCCAACAAGTTATCCCTGGAGGGCTTTTTTTTTGAAAAAAAGAATTCCTTCGCTGCTTTTTAAGCCTTTCTCAATCCATTTTGTTTTCCCATTTCTATTTTTCTTTTCTATACTGCATTTTCCCTAATACATCTTATTTTGTTCTCTGACATTGCTGTTTATTTCCTAAGTTTTATTTGATCGATTAAGATAAACCACCGGCATCACCAAGATGCCCAGTGCTCTTGCCATATTGTCATTAGTTCACACTTCCAAAGATTTTTTGCAACAAAGATTTTGATCTGAAGGAGAGGTTCCACATACAGGGGCAATAGTGAGTGAAGATAAAAAGCCCTGACTGTTTTTTTTGACAAGAAATCGTGTAGACATTATACTATAAAGTAGCAAAGTCAGTGCAAAATAAGTGGTTGGAAAATTGTAGCACTTTCTATGGTCTGTAATGAAATGTAAATGTCACTTGAAATGGGTGAAGTTGTTAGAAATTAGGTGTGTAGAAGCATTAGCTTTCCCATTGTTTACTTTCTACGGTCACCAAAACTGTATCACTGCATTTGGATAAAACCCTCAAAGCAATTTCAACATTTTAGCTTTTCATGTAATTAGTACATGTAATACAGGAGGAAATCGATATGAGCAAGAGAACATGACCTTGCCAGATTATGTACATCACAGGGAGGGAAGCTTCAGTCAGGCGACAAAGTATTATCACCTACAAAGATAAGGTGATTCAGTTCCAGTCATTCAAAGCAGTTAACAAAGAGTTCAGAATATTATGCTTCCTTGTTTCTTTAGTAAGCTCTCTCAAATTTGGATTCTAAACACAATTTCCAATTTACAAATTTAAACAAATCTCAGATTCAGTTCATTTTCCAACTTTACATGAGCATCACCAGCTCACTTGTTGCCCATCCCTAGCTGCCCTTGAAAAGCTGCCGTCATTGTGGTGAGGGTACACCGAGTGCTACAGGTTTAGTACAACTGAGTGGCATGCTACGCCATTTCAGAGGGCAGTGACAAGTTAACCACTATGCTCTGGGTCTGTAGTTATAGACAGACTAAACTAGGTAAGAACAGCTATTTTTCCTCACCAGAAAGCCATTAATGAACCAGGTGGGTTTTCATGATAATTAATGATAGTTTCATAGTCATGTTACCGTTTTATTAATTGAGTGAATGTGAAGCCCACTGCCATGATGCAATTTAAACCAGTGTTCCTGGCTGGGTCCTCGGAATTACAAGTCTACTGTTATTACTAATACACTACCCTTTGACTTTGATGTAATGAAACAGAAATCAGTCAGGCATAAGAAGCAGTTTACGCAAGTTAATAAGGGACCAAATGAAGTTTTGCGTAGGCGATCATTTCTCATCTCATTTGTGATTGCCTCCCCAACCATAACCACCACAGGTTTATTTACTATAAGCTAACAGTCAAGATCTTGAAGGCTTAGCAACCTATCCACTAGTATCAAGTCAAAAGCTCTCAGGTTCAATTGTTTATCACTATTTAATAGACTTTCCTAACTAATTCATTGGAACCATGCTGTGGCCAAGAATCAACACATTCAAGTGTCAATTTGATGTAGCTTTGTGGGATTGAAGGTAGCCATGTTGCCCAACAATATATTATTCCTCACTTAGAATTTTAAATATCACTCGGCCCATCACAGTCCGGAAGTTGGTGCATAGGATCTCCTTAAATCTCCAGATATTGCAAAGATTATCCCAGGCAAGATTCCTACTCTCGCATGCAGACAGCCTTTTGCATCCAGAGTAAAAGCCAGGTACAGACTCCCACCCTCCACCCGAGTTCCAAACCTGGCTCTGGAAGAGACTCTCAGACCCCCAGTTTCCACTCCAGTCTGTATTCCTCCTCCCTCTACCCTACTCCATCCACCTTCCTCCCCATGCACGATCACCACGCCAACCTGGACTCTACAATCTTCTCTCAGGTCAGTTTACCCCAAGCCCTACCCCATCCCGCTCAAGAATCCCACCAGCCCCTGGCCCAGAGTCCCTCAACTATGGGTCCAAATTATCTGACATCCTGTACTAGATAAGCAGAAATTTCATCCAACTAAATACTGGAAAAGCCAAATCCATTTTCTTCAGTCAGTGCCACAAACTCACTCCCTAGGTAGTGACTTTATCTCTGTGCAACTGCCTGAGATTGAACAAAACCAATTGCAATCTTGTTGTCATACCTTGCTCCAAGATGAGCTTCTGACCATGCATCAAGGCACTATCAAAAACGTCAATTTCCACCTACATAACATCAGATCGCATTCCTGCCTCAGCTCATCGGCAGCTAAAACTGTCATCCAAGCCATTTTTACTTTTACAGTTGACCACTTCAATGCACTCTTGTCCAGCCTCTCAACTTCTACACCCCATAAACTTCACTGCATTGAAAACATTGGTGCCTATTTCCCAAACTTTATCAAGTTCCAGTCATCCATCATTTTGTTTGCTGACTGTCATTGGCTCCTTGTTGGGCAGCACCTCCATTTTTAAATGCTCATCCCTGTTTTCAAATTCTTCCACAGCGGCACCCTTCTATAAATTACCTCGAACTCTGCGGTCCTCCAATTCTGGCCTCTTGTACAATCGTTCCATCATTTGGTACCATGCCTTCAGCTGTCAGCACCCCAAATTCTATAATTCCCTCCTTCAACCTCTCCAACTAACTTTTCTAATTAAAAATAACATTCCTTTAACCCCTTTGGTTAAACTTTTGGTCAACCAGCCCCTTATGGGATTCAGGGTCAAATTTTGTTTGTTTGGGCAGCACAGTGGTTAGCACTGCTGCCTCACAGCACCAGGGACCCTGGTTTGATGCCACCCGTGGGCGACTGTGTGTTGTTTGCATATTCCCCCTGCGTCTGCGTGGGTTTCCTCCCCCAGTCAAGATGTGCAGGTTAGGCGGATTGGCCATGCTAAATTGCCAGGGTTTTAAAATTGGGTGGATTAGACATAGGAAATGCAGGGTTACAGGGAAGGGTGAGATGCTCTTCGGAGGGGCGGTGTGTCTTGTCGGGCCGAATGGCCTATTTCCTCACTGTAGGGATTCTGTGAACTCTTCTGTGGGATATTTAACTTTGTCGAAGGTGCTTTGTGAATGTAAGTTGCTGCTTCTCACGTTATTTACGTGGCTGAATTCAAAATTATTGGACCATGCGTATCTTGTTAAAAGCAAATATCTCGAAATCAATCGATGGCGTTGATTTGACAACGTCTGAGACAGTGGCAGACAATTTCCCATTACCCCACAATTTTTACCCAAAGTACCTGTTGTACGTTACTTCCAAACTGCAAGTTTGCCAATATTTCATCCACTCTGTTAACATATGTCGCAAAATGCAGCATTTAATTAACAAAATACAAACCAGTTGTACCTGAGGTTGGATTGAGCCATGGGTCGGTGACATCAAAAGACATTATTGACAACATTATTAACACGAAGCACTTTTAACGTTTGACTGTCAAGTACTTGCACCTAAAACAAACTGAAGCGCCGGGGAGAGATCAGAGATATACAAACCCGTTCACTCTCCTCATCCTCGTCTCGGTCGGCAGCTTCCTCATCGCTGCTGGGTTCCTCGGCACCTTTCTCCTTCCCCGGCTCCCAGAACTCGCTCTGCTCGCCCTCGGACAGTGTGTCGGACGAGCTTTCAGAAACATCTCTCTCGGGCAAATCCTCCAGTTTACCCTCCATACTCGGCTCCCGGACCTGAAGGGATTTTCGCCTTTGCTGGCGCCCAGCGTAGCACTGCAGCTGCAAACAAATTAAGAAACATAGACATGTCTTTACACTGCTTTTAGATGTTAAACAGCTGAGGCACTTGCCATGTCTAACTAGTTTTTTTTTGTTGTGTGCATCTATTTTACTGTCTCCGCACTCCCATACCTGCCTCTCAGTAACGACGCCGATGCTACGACAGGCTCAACTTTACTGAATTGAACAGTGGATAGACACACCGCTACGCGTCCGTAGCCCGAGTTCGCCTTCTACACTAGCCACGCCCAGTCCTCCAGACCCCGCCCTCGGACCCGCCCACCATTCCGAAAAGGCGACGAATAGGACCCGCCCTCCCATCAGATCCCCGCCCCAGGCCCCACCCTGTTCTTTGGACCGCGCGCATAGGCACCGCCCCCTACCAACAGACCCCGCCCCTACTTGCTCGGCCGGTACTCCCTGACCCCTAACACCTGACCTTCCCCCGTGCACCATCCATCCCCGAAAGACCCAGCCCTGAGTCCCGCCTCGTCCAGCGGCACCGCCCTCTTTCCTAGGCCCCGCCCCCATGGCGCCGCCGGGGTTTTTTGTTGACCCACGCCCCCAGCCAATATCAACCGTTACGTTAGCATCTTAACCACGCCCCTTTAGCGTGGCCCCGCCCTTCAACACCCCGCCCCCCCACCACACCCAACCCAACCGCAAATCCTCGCGCACTTGATTGTGGAAAGTCGTTTTTTGACTCTGCTTGGGAGTATGGACCTGGTGCTCAGAGTTTAAAGCAAGCAGCGAAATATGAAACCATCGAAGGTCTGGCGGTATTTCCATTCAGTGCACTACTGTTGCAAGTGACCACGGTGAGACTGACATTAAACTGATGTCCTGTTCTGTCACTCGGGTTCATTTAGGAGATCCCATGGCACTATTTTGAGGCACAGACGGGACGTTACTCCCTTGCGAAACCAAACTGTCACACCGTTGCTGGATGACATCTTCTGCAACATTTGCAGATTGTTGTCACGTTTCCTGAATTAGAACAGCAACTGGATTTCAAAACTACTTCATTCACTGTAAAGACTTGCAACGACCTGTGGTGGTGAAAGATGTATAATTTTTTAATCCACTGAGGGATAGCAAGAACTGCTGATGCTGGAGTCAGAGATAACACAGTGTGGGCTTGGATGAACACAGCAGGCCAGGCAGCATTAGAGGAGCAGGAAAGCTGACGTTTCGGGTCGGGATCATTTTCTGAAGAAGGGTCCCGACCCGAAACATCAACTTTCCTGCTCCTCTGATGCTGCCTGGCCTGTTGTGTTCCTCC